GAACTTGCTTTATCCGAGGTGCTAAAATATTTCTCTCAGCCAAAGTAATTATGGCATTCAGATGATTCGCGCAAGGTATCTGTAAGGCGAAAATTACACAGATCGTCAAGGGGCAGGAATGTAGAACGTAAGACAGCCAGCTAAGACGTTCGCGGTTTCGCTTAAGTCTGCTGAAGGGGGTCCTTTCGTAATTACACCAACCACAACCGCCAAACACCACTACCGGTACGAAGGGGATTCTAAAAGTACCTTAACCCTATCCCCTCTTATCCATATACCGGAATTATACAACCTATCTTTGGCATCAGGGAATTTCATTCATAACCGGACATTCACACAAGTTCCTTTGCGTTCAACAAAATAAATTCAGAAAAAATTGTTTTCCTTTAAAATAATTTGTAATTTTTATATATAAAAATTAGATTTTTCAAAATTCTTAATTTTTTTAAAGTCAGTTTTCCAAATTCAAAATGGCGGATTCAATATGGAGGATAGAAATTAAAAATCATTAGATTCACCTGAAATTAGTTACTCGGGAGTTTTCAGGGTCGCTTATTACAAATCTGATATCAAAATTCAAAATGCTGCGGTACTCCGCCAGTAAATTTTTGATAGAATTGTTTTCGATAGAAGAATAAGAAAAAATAATAAATCTCAACTAAATGACTTAAAATTCACCAACTTATATTGGGAAAGTGGGATTTGCCAGTTCAGTCAGCAAGAAACGATAATGGTGGCTATTAACGAACAGAAATGGGTGGGAAGGCACCTGAGCCCAAAATATCACCGCAATTAATGCAATTACAGTTTACAAGTCCCTTCGCTCTAACGTAAGACCACGGGTATTAGTAATTCAATAGTTAGTATATGTAGGAGGGAATCTTCTCTCTCTATATATATATATCTATAATACATACATTTCGGCAAAAGGGAATGTTAAAGCTCCCCCTATACATATATATTAACTCAAAGGAAGGACGTGGGAAAAGCAGGAAATCCATCTCGCGAGAGCATGATAATTAATTTTGACAATAGGTGAAGAAAGAAGGAAAATTGTTAATTCGTCTGCAATTTTGTGAGTATAATGCATATAAATTTTTGTCAATTTAGAAAAAAAAAAAAAATGTAACGAAAGTTTTGAAAAATCGTCAGGATTACATTTCTGCGAAATTGGAAACTTGACCGCCAGTCACAATGGAATAATCTAGATGGCACGATGAAACATTAATCTCTCTTGGTGGCAATATCGCATCAGTGATATTCGAGGCACGAGTATTATACGAGGCGATGTCATTAGTGCGCGGTCTGTGTCTATATATATATATATTCTCACTGTGTATATGTTTCGTAGGAGAAAGAATCGTACGAGTGAGGGTGTAAGTTATCCTCGATTTTGTATGTATGTGTGTGTGTTCGGTAGTATCGATATGCAGGACCGTGATAATCGATTGCCGCATTCCTCGAGATGGAGCGACGTTGCGCGCTTTGAATATACGCCAGAGGGCCGTGAGCATAGAACATGTACAACGCATACGAAGCTGATCTTTTCTCCGGAACTCGAGGGCGATACATTGGAAATTGCTTTTTCATCTCATCGTCGTGAATTCGTCACGAGTCTCCGATCACTGAATACTTCGATATATATATATCGACGATTTACTAAAAACAACTTTTGTATCACATTGAAAAAACTCAGGTGTTTCTAATTTTATTCGCCAATGTGTTTAAAAAAAAAAAAAATACAGAAATATACAATCTACTCTCAAAATTTGATTCGTTAACTAATTCTTTGTAGAGATTATTAGTAACTAACCCCTAAGTGTCAGGTTTCCAGGATTTTTCCCCCACCTATAAGTTTCGAAAGTGTTGGATGCGTGCGCAACGAGAATCAGGGCCGTATTTAGTTTGTTCTAGAAAATTTATTTGAAATTCAATCCAGAACAAATGCAAAACTTGATGTAAAAAAACTCGATCAAATAATTCTGTAATATTATTAATAACTATGAGAAATATAAATATATAGTAGACCGTAAAATTTACATGAGACACTAATAATAGTAAAAGAGTATAAAAAAAAATTTCAGGCGAAATTTTCTCATGAATCGATATATATATATAAGCTACCGTATATATTGGAGTTAAATAGAAGCCTCCTGTTTTACGAGCAAATCTTTCCAATAAGCACCTCATTTCGTCAAAAGCTATTCGCCGACACGGTGCGTTTTCGTATATATATATATATATATGCAATAAGTCCATGCAAAAAGATATCCCTTTCCTTTTTGCTCAGAAGCGAATTGAATTTGAGAATTTATCGTAACGAACTTCCGTTCTTTTCTTGGCTGATGCGTAAAGAAGTTGGATTTACGAGGCAGTTACATATCTGAAAGTGCCCTTGAAAAGAAGTCGACGGTTAATTGGAAGAAGGGACTAATCGGCACCCAAAGAAGATGAGAGAGAGAGAGAGAAGAAAAAAAATAATTTTTTTTTTTTCCCCACCCCAATGATCGAAGAAACTGACCTTTGCCCGAATTTCTCTCTTCCGGATAGGCTTACTCAGTTTTTGAAATATAGTCAGTTTCAATATATATCCAAATATATGGACATTTTTCACTCTCAAGATGGTTGTAATTTTTCATGAAAAATATAAGTATAGCCGCTGATCTTTGTATGTCATAAAAAAGGAAATTATTATCGAAAAAATTGATTTGAATGCATAAGTAAAAAATGAAATTGATTTTATGAGCGAAAAAACAAAGTTTTAGATTTTCCATAACGATTTTTCTAAAAATAGAATTATTGCCCTTATTTTTAATATATATATATATAATAATTAAAACCCACTGGGTTATTGTATAAAGAGAGTGGAAAACTATATCTTCAGTGGAAATGTTGCGAGTACTACATCAACGACATCAATGCAATGCGGCAGTTGCATCGGGTCGAGATAATTAGGTTTGAGTGCACTCTGGTCGCCGCAGTCGGTAACTCAGTTATCAGTGGACACCCCGCGCACAATGGCTATCACAGCGGCATCAAACATAACGCATCAATTAACGTGAACAATAACCAAGCTGTGTGTGGGAGTGAATGAGAGAAGGGGGGGTTAGAAGAGAACTCCATATATGAGAGAGAGAGAGTCCTGGTCAATTCACTTGTTATTGTTATTGTCTCTGGAAATTCGATTGCAAACCGATTTCTCCGCTATCCTGATGTATGGCGCGCTTCATTTAAATTCACCCAAAAGCTTTCAGATTTAGCTTGACATAATTCAAGAGGGAAAATTTTCATATCGAGAAAAGAAATTATTTTTTTTTTTTTGACAAAGAAAAAAAATTAAATACGGATAAAAAAAAAATAATGACAAAATGGATATAGGATATAATCGTCAAAAGCGACAAAACGAGTCCGTTTCCCCTGCAATCTTTCTCTCATCCTTGCTCCCAATGTCTGTACACACATATCGTAGAAAATTACATTTTGTCGGTTGTAAAAAAGAAACGTCGTAAAAATCGTAACGCCAACGACGAAGCTGACTGCGGTGCGCGGCGAAATTGCACTGGCCACCGCCTATCCGTTGGCCATCAACATTGCTCCACGCTTGATAGACCCTTTGTAAAACGTCCTTCTACGGGGCTTTTATGCTCTTACTGCTAGGCAAGTGAATGCGCTTTCTCTCTCTCTCTCTCTCTCTCTCTCGTTCTAGTATCGTGCTATATATCTACGAAATAAACGAACTTGCACACGTGTGTATTCGATGTACACTGCATCATGCTCGACACGATCTTGTATATATCTATATATATGTATATATGAAAGAGTCCGACCACTCTGGGTTACGCTTTGGTCAACAAGTCAATTCACTTTTCAACGAAGAAACTAGTTGCTATTCAATCAACTTGAAAATTAAGGGTGCTCCCTGTAACGAAACACACACAAACGGAGAAAAATTATTTACAATCGGATTGTTAATACAGAACTAACAAATCTGGTTTGTAGTTGCAAATTTCAAATTGTTGTGATAACAGTAAAATAATTTTATTTCCACAACAAATTTTTTGTTAGCTACGAATCCAACAGATGGCGTTAGTGTATGTTACATTTCAGTCTCAACTCTTCTCTCTTTAGCAATTATCATAATAGGTGTTAATTACGAATCCAACAAATGGCTCTAGTAGAGGTTACAAAATAACATCCGAAAACCGTTTATATTTTCATGGGTATATGTAAAAAAAATTATTATTTTCATCCAAAGAAAGTTAATTTAATTCCCAACTTTTGTTACATTAAAAATAAATTATTCTACATATGAAAAAACGACCTTCTTTCGACGAAGATAACATTTTACAATATCATTTATCAATTATTATTAAACTTTTTATACAATTAAATTGTAATCAGTTAATGTTTTTTTTTACTTGATTTAAAAATTGAAAATTATTATAATAAACATATTACAAAATGAAAGATTTTTTTTTATTAATTTTTTTTTTTATTTTTAAAATGTCATTGATTTTAAGATATTTATTTAAAATTATCACAAAAATTGCGTTATTGTATTATCATGTAAATATATATTTTTGTTTTTTACACAATAAATATCGAACGTCAGAGATAGAGAGATGTTTATAAAATTATGAAATTAATCTTGATTTTCTTTTTATATATTTTTTATTTTATCATATATAGAAATCTTTTTCGTAATTACTTTGCACTTTTTTTCAATCTTAAAAAAAAAGTCCCCTACATTCTAGTTTGACAATTTGACTTTTTTTTCCCCAAAAATCGGAGTTAATTTTTATAATATATAAATTGATTTTTTAATTATAAATTTTAAAAATTGTAAAACGAAAAAAAATTTATCTAAAACAACGAAAGTTTTTACTAGAATAGCAAAAGTTTTAATTGTTTTAATTAAATCTTTCACTGTTCTAGTGAAACCTTTCGCTGTTCCAGATGAAGTTTTTTTTGTGTTTGAATGAAATGGTATTGGTTTCAAATCTATGATTTTAATATTTAAAGTATTGGTTTTAATGGGAAATTTTATGAATTCTATATTTCTGTATTTCATAATCATAATCATCAGCATTTTATATGATAAAATCTTTTAACATATCAAAATTCACATGATAAGAGGTATTTTCCCTCTCAATGTACAGACTTGAAGATTATGTTTATCATTTGAGTTAAAGGCGATATTTAACTATAAAGACAGTCATTCTAACGCAGCAATCATTATAAATACTTGAATATTTTGTCAAGTGACAGTTTTTCATTACCAACGTCAAAAATATTCACTTCCAACACGATTATAGGTAGGAAAATTTATTTCTAAAAAATTCGTTTTACAATTTATTTTTAAATTAAAAATGATTTAAAATTTATTTTATTACTTTTTATTTTTTTTTTTTTCATTTCGATATTCTTATAATTTCTCGTACATTTATTATTATATTATTATTAGATAATAATTATAAGTAGTTTACTCATTTTTCTTCAATGCAATAATAGAAATAATTACATAAGAAGAGTAAATTTTTTTAACAAATTCACATTTCTTATAGATAACAACACAAAATGAATATGAAAAAATTTTTTACCTATTCCCTGGTCTTATGCGTGGTATTGTCCCTCTTTTTGGAAACTGTCAATGCTGAACAACCTTCTCCCAATGGTGGCACTATCGTTGTAAATGGAACTGTAAATGGAAAAGATATTGTAAAAGGAGTGAAAAAAGTTGTAAAGGAAGGAGGAAGAGTGATCAAAAAAACTAAAAAGAAGATTAAGAAAATTTTTGGTTAAAAAATAATGTATTTTTGAATATAAATCACTACTTGTAGTCAAAAATTGTTCTAATTGTAATCATGATTAATTTGTTATAAATATATTTTTGTTACAAAAAAAAACTTGTACCAAGAATTGTTACTGTATATTATACCCTTTAAATAAATATTTAAAATTAACAAAAATTAGATGCAAATTATTTACTTCATATATTAAAAATTTTAATTCCTTTAAAATTTTAAATTATTGACAAAAATAGAATAAAATTTGGACTTTTTACAAAAAGAAAAAGAATTAATGCTGGATAAATTCGATTCATATAAGTTTATACAAAATTTTTTTGTTTTTATATTTTATATTTTTTATTTTAATACCATTTATTATTATTATAATTATTATTTATTATTTATTTTATATATTATGTTGGGAATTGTTATTAGATAAATTTTTTTAAAAAAGTTTTTTTTGTAATTCAGTGGTTTTTAAAATCTTATATTAAATTCACATGATAAGAAGTATTTTTCCTTTCAATGTAAATATAAGTATATTTTTTATATTATTATAATAATAATAAAATAATAATATATTAATAAATAATATATGTAAAAGCATTTATTTATAATAAATATAATATATAATAATATAATAATAATAATAAATTTAAAAAGTAAATAATACATTTTATTTTGACTCGGAGTGATTCATTTTTATATAACTTACAATCAGTAATAGTATTGAGTATTAATTATTATTATTATAGTGCAATTGTTTAAATATTCTATAATTTTTTGTAATTCCTTAACTTAATGATAGGCCACAAAATTGAAAAAGATGCGATATATATATTTTAAAATTCTGTACATTTAGGAAAATTAATCTCATATTGAGAATAAAAATTCATTTCTTATTGCACCTCAAGTTATTTTATCAAAACAAAAATATATTTATTTTCAAACTAGAATATTTTATTTTTATTTTTAAATAAAAAGAATGTCAAAAGGGTTACATAGCACTCTCCTCTTTGATTAAGAATATATACTTAGATAATTTTTCATTTTTAAATTAACTACATTATTTTTCAAGAGATTATATATTCTTTTAGAATAGTATCCTCTCAAGTGGAAGGGAATATTTTTGACAAAATATAAAAAAGAAAAATTTGCACCAAATTAATAGAATTCGTATTACTTTATGATAAAATATACTTTCAAAATACTTAAAGGACTTTTTGTACCTAGGTATGCATTTTGAAAAGTTAAAATTTTTTATTTTGAAAAACTGTCAAATTATGTAAGTTATAAGTATAATATTTAATTATATTACTTACACGCATATTTGGTACATTTTGTATTTGTAAATGAAAATATTACTATTGACCCCCTTCTTTCAAATACGTAACAAATTCTTTTGATAAAAGGTATTTCCCTTTCTACATTGAGAATTTTAGATTATGTCATCTTATCGCTCAAATTATAAACGAATTTTAAGTATAAATACTGCTCAGTCTGAAGTTAAAGCCATAAAATGCAGTAATCGTCTTTCTTATATTTTATCATTGTTTTCTCGAAAAAAAAACTTTTGGTTCAAAAAAAGTTTACAATACGTGATATATTCCAACTGTGTTAAATCAATTTAATTGGTAATTATATCTTTTTACATTTACTTCATTCTTGTCGTTAAATCGTTTAATTCGTTATTTATACCAGTTATAAAATAATTTTTATTTTATTATACTTATTTTTTATGTTTTTATTTTAGTTGATTTTTTTAATGCTTATTTATTATTATAAATATTGTAGGAATAATAGAATTCATATTATTATTATCATATTTTTAATTTATTTAATAATTAATTCAATTAATTAATTTCTGTTATATATAGAATTCAACGAAAATGAATACCAAAAAAATATTAGCTTATTCGTTGGTTTTTTCTGTACTATTTGCACTTTTGGCGGATAGTGTCGATGCTGTTAATCAACCTCCCAATGGAATTAGTGTCAGTGTAAATGGAACAATTGATGGCAAAGATGTTGTAAAAGTAGTGAAAAAAGTTGTCAAGGAAGGTGGAAAAGTAGTGAAAAAAGTTGGAAAAGAAGGGGGAAAAGTAATCAAAAAAGTTGGTAAAGAAGGCAAAAGAGTAATAAAAAAAGTTGGAAAGAAAATCAAGAAAATATTTGGTTAAAAAATTTGTTTATTTTTTCGAAAAACAATGTTAATTTTTAACAAATTATTTTAGTGTTAAATATTAATTAATATCTGTTATACGATTACTGACTTTGTAAATAAATATTCATTGTTTGTATAATATTTGTGTAATTTTCTGTGTTTTATAGGAAGTCTTTTCAATTTCAAAAAAAAAAAAAAACCCTTTATTCTCGGGCACCCAGAGAAATCTTTTATTTGAGACAAAAATATATTTGTCTCAGAGCCTAATAATTTTTTATTTGTTTCAAATGCATTTAATTTAGCTGAAATAAAATTTTAGTGAGAGAAAATAAAAATTTTATTTGCTCTTAACAAAATTTATTTGCTCTAAATAAAATATTTAATTTAGCACAAATCAAATTTCATTAAGCGTAAATGTAATTTATCTAAAGCAAGTAAATATTTATTTGAATCAAATAAATATTTGAAACAAATAAATATTTGAAGCAAATAAATATTTATTTGGTTCTGATATACAAATAATTCATTTACAGTGTTTAAAAAGAAGAGAAATTTTAACATTTTGTTATAAACACAATTAACTTTTTATTGTACGAATTTGCGGTGTTTGAAATATTTAGAAATTTTCACAAAGGCTTGTATGTATACGCATTCCTACCGCTTTCTATATAGTGTAGTAGAGGTGTTCTCTTACTTCATTACGGCTGGGTGCCGCTGGAGGGCAGCATCGAATGGTGGTCATCTATACCACACATTGCTATACTGTTTTCAACGTCCCATTCGACGTATATCCGCAAAGCCCCGTAATTAAACTCGGCGAGCGTCTTAGATGCAAAACGTACTTAGTAAGCGGAGCTTACTCTCTCTGGAGCTTTGTACCGGAGAAAACTCCCAGTCCGGCTATATGGGTATATGTATGTATGTGTGTGTTAGTCCATTGCTTGTTGTAAAGGGTTACAGGGGCAAAGGATCGAGATATCAGAGTCGCGTTGCCACCACCAAATCCCCCCCCCTACCCTCTTTTCCTCTCCTCTATCTACTCTATCTCTTCGGCGTTCGTTGATGAATTTTCCACTATCCAAGTTTCAAATAGCAATACCGGTTGCTGTGTATTATAGTATAGTCAGTTTCGACTTGAAGTGGAGATTGACTTTCCAGTACAGAGTATAAGAAAAACATTAGTTTTTTATGAAACAAATTTTGTACAAAGTTATCACTTGTTTTTTTGCAGGGAAAAAGATTTTATTTGCATCAAAGTTCATTAAAATTCACTAAAACTTAAGATTAGGAGTAATTTTGTTCAAAGTTATCACTTGTCTTTTGCTAGAAAAGAGATTATTGTAGCATAAATCAGAAATTTATTTATACTTATAAGAAGTAATTTTGTCAAAGTTATCATTTGTCTCTTGCCAAATAAGATTCTTTGAGCAACAATCCATTCGTAATGTTATCACTTGTATTATCTTTTTGAAACCAAATTTATTTTTACCCAATTAACTATATTTTAATATTACATTTGTTAAAATATGTTTTAACACATGTTAAAACATCTCTTCACCAAATTTTAATGAATTGGTATATATAAAATATATTGATAACAATTAGCCTTGAAACAAAATGTTAAAAATAAAACACGCAGGTGGTTCTCTATCGTACATTTTAATTCATTTTCCAAATGGATCATCGTTTTATTTCTGAAATGATATTAGAGTGAATTAGAGCAAGATTGATTATTATCGAGAGAAAGATTTAGTGCCAGGTGCTTCTAAATTTTCAACGCCCAAACACGCGCACCTTAATAGAGAGATATACTCATTTATTTTGTGTGTATATAGAAGATATAGCTTTTTTTCTTTTTTTTCGTTTCATTGTGATAGGAGTAGATCGACTCGTATTTTGTGATATAAAGTCGTGTGCGTATACCGGAAGGCGTTATGGGATTAAGTCGTTGAAGTAGAATATTCGTTCGTTTATACCAGAGCGGGACCGCCCAGAGAGCCTCCTAGGGGACGAGAGCAATAAACTAATGGCCACGTTCCACTTCTTACACCTTCTTTTCCTTAGCTAAAAATTTTTTTTCTTTGCAAATCATTATTTTCTTATAGTGTATTCAATTTCTAAATTATTTTAACAAAAAAAAATTATGCAAACGAAAAAGAATTTAAAAAAAAAAAAATACTCATATTGAATTGACTATATATACCGCTAATTGTAATTACCCCGTGGTGTTAGAACGATACGTCTGTTTTATGATGGATCACCCAATAATACTCACGAAAACTGTCATCAAAAATTTCGAACCCACTTTGTTTTAAACCATGTCAATCTTTTAACATCAAATCATTTTTTTTGAGCTTGTTTTTTTTACAACGTGTGAATCATGAAAAATGAGGATTTTAATTAAATATCAGATATTTAATAGTGTGAGAACAAAATAGATAGATATTGAATGAAGAGTTCTTAAGGTTTGAACGGATATGACGCCGCGTGACAGTTGGTTTTTTTTTTACATACATAACGCGAATTTCGATCTTAAAGAAAAATCATTGATGAACACGTCCGGTGAAACATTTCGGTCGCAACAAAGGGCTTCTTGCATCGCACAGCCAAGGCTTCATTTTAACAAAGAGCCTTGGAATTTAACATTTTTTTTATACAAAGCTTTTTTATTGTCTCATTCGACTTGTGTCATTCTCCTAATTCGAGTAAATAATTACATAAATGATTTCAAACATTTTATTTTCTTACATATCAATATAAGCAAGTTTTAATATATTTTTTGTAGGAAAAATATAAATTTTATTTCAATTTATATCCTCTCAATACAAGAATACTTCATTTTTCTCAAATGAATTTTTTTGATAAATTTTAGTGAAAAAAGATTTTTTGATTGAAAAAAAGTGGGTGGATTTTTAAGTTAATATCTTTGCTATATAGCAGAAACGATCGTATAATTGTGTCAAAGCGAATTTTCAAATTTCAATCACAAATGCCACGATGGCTCCTTTTCCCTTTC